TATATATACATGCATGATTATTTTTTTATTGCACAAGTAAATATTCTTTCGGTGTCAGTTAAAATTTAGAGATATCATGATATTTGGGTTTTGTGTTTGTTGGTTGGCTTTATTGTGTTTAGCCTGTTTTTGTGAAAATCTGTGTCTTGTTTTCTGTTTTTTTTTTTTTTTTGCGTGCGTTATTTTTTTTACACTTAGCACTTAAAAGCAAGGAAATTTGTGTTTGGTAGATTATTTTTTGTTGTATCAATGTTTCTTGGCAATAATTCTCATACCCTTAGAAAGCCTGTTAGTTTCCCTTTTTAAGTGGTGCCACATTTGTAAGGAACATGCATTTGTTGGGTGAGCAGTAGTGCTGAGTGTGTAAGTGTGGCACATGAAAAATTTGCCAAATCTTCTCTGTCAAATATCTTATTCTATTGTTGCTATTGACTCTTGTTTTGAGTTTCTGGTACTACCAGGTGCTGCTAATCAAGAGCCCATTACAAGATTTATTACCAAGAAGCWTTGTTTCAACCAAGAAATAATGTACTAAACACCATTTCCCTTTTATTTTTATTCTTAGTCAAGTTTAGTTAGCCCTTTTTGTTTCTGTTTCCTGCGACTCTTGTTAATCAGTTTAGCTCTCTGCTGTGGCTCTGCCCACTCTCACCTGCTTCTTCTCTCCCCAGGTGTTTCCAATCGTCCGCTCGTTTATGCTCATTTGTGTTCTGTCCCTTGTGTTTTCTCAGAGAGTTAATTGTAACCTTGTTGCTGCCCTGTCAGAGGGTTCTTGTATTAAAATTGTTTTTGTCTGCTTCCAATCTACAACAAACTTGACAGTTTTATTTATTTTGGTTTTAGACTAGATTGATTTCATTTTGATTGTATGTTTTTTTGAACTTTGTTAATTTTGTATTACAAATGAAAYGAATAAACTACTACTACTAAAACTACTACTACTAGATTCCACCAAAAATATGAATGTTTGGTAAAAATTGTCCTTAGGCATGACTAATAGTGTGAATGGTTKYTTGTCTCTTTGATGGACTTGCAGTRMACYCAGGGTGTACGCCCCCCGCCCCTGCAGTGACCTCTGTGACCCTGAAAGGAAATAGCACGTAAAGCTCATGAATGGATTTAAATTGCTTGAGTTAACATAGTTCCCCTCTCAGTCATTATCACCACACCTGTTCCTCATATTCATCAGCCTACATACAACCCATGTCAGAAAGCAGAGAATCACCTCTCTTAGTGGACGTTCTTCCAATTGTTTAATTTAGCTTKTTTAAAAAAAGCCATAAAATTATAGTTTTTTAAAATTCCAACCTTCTGGCTTTAAGGAATAATGTAAAAAAGATTATTGCTGTTTCATTTTTTAGATCAAGTAGAGAGAAAAGAATGATGGACTCATGAAAAAAACAGTTTTGTTGCACCACTTCTAGTTTTTCTGACATCTTGAGTTCTCTGAGGCATAACGGACCAAACCGATGACAAACAGAACTCTTCATCAGTCTGACTCTTCTTGTTTTTGCCAGATCAGCTTTGCAGGTTGGAGCTTTTGTTGGCGTAGTCATACAATAAATACGGCACAGATAAAGAGTGCAGCTCTTAAAATAAGATGTCTGCGTCTGTACGTGGTGCTTTGAAGGTGAGGATGAAGCTGGCTGTACTTTTCTTTTTAATTTCATAAACTGCACTGAATTTCATGAAAATCAAATCAACACTTTTTTTCAGCTTCAAACACTGCATGCATGGATACACACACTTCCAAAAGTGCTGACAAGTCTCCACAGGTCTTTTATGTGCTTTATAAAAACTCTTGTCTGAGAGCTGCATCATCATCATTCTGATCACAGAGCGGTCCCATCAACACGCCTCACGGCTCACGTATCTCTGAAGGAAAAGCTTAGAAAGGACTTCTGGCTTTGAGCCGAGACCTTTTTTCATCTTCCTCACTGCAGCCGTTTTCTCAAATATGAGGCAGTAAACGTCTTTATACATCAAAATGTGGGAAGAAAGGAACAACCTGAAGTCTGCGCTGCATTAGGACGGAGTTTAACAAACTGTGGGAGAGACATTTTTTCTTTTCTCTGAGCCRCAGGCGTTTGTGGACTCCAGATGTAGCAGAAGAGACACATCAGAGCCCTGTCCAGCCAAGACTCCATAAAAAGGATCTGCTCGCCATTTTCAAAGTGATTTGATGCAGTTGATTTAATATTTCGCATTGTGTCCACTCTGAAAAAAGGGAGAAAAAAAGATCAGACGAGCTGACCGGAGTGAGTGTTTAGCTCCTGTGAAATGAAGTGTGGTGAATTCTGTTCCTTTTCCCGTGACGGG